CCACCCCGGCCCTGTCACCGCCCACCCCAGACCTTCCACTGAGACCCTGCTCACTCAGGGACCAGAGCCTGGGGACGCAGAGACAGGGGGAGGGGCGGGGTCCCCACAGAGGGCAGCAGGCCCCCTCCCGGGCTCCGGCGGGATGAGCCAGGTACTCACCAGCCTCCCCGCCAGCCGCTGGCAGCCGATGGTGCTGCCCACATCCTTCATGCTGCACGTGACGTGGAAAATCAGCTGACGCAGCCCCTCCCGGCCTTCCAGGCTCTTGCAGGAAATCTCGCTGTGGGTGTGGAAAAGAGCCACGCTTGCCGGCCGCACCTCCCTCCCCGACCACGGCCGCAGCATCTGTTTCCCTGCGTCTCGTCTCAGACGCTGGCGAGCCGGGGGAACTCGTGAGACGCGGACGCAGAAATCCCCTGCGGCCCTACTCAGTGCAAAGCACAGTGCTGGGTCTGTCTTTGCAACGTGTCCATTCTACAGAGGAGGCCAGTGAGGCGCACAGGCACCGGGGGACCCCCAGGGACACAAGCCGGGAAGCAGCAGACTGAGGCGGGACCCAGGTGTCTGACCCTGAGCTGGCGCCCCTATCGGCACAGGCCGCAGGGGTCGCTGTCAAGGGCACAGGAAGCGTCCTGTGCTCTGAGCCAAGTGGCCACGTCCCCAGGCTGCCTCCTGCTCCAGCGTCCCTGGGACTCCGCCCAGAGGGAGGGAACCCAAGAGCCACCACGGCCACCGCGGCCACGGACGCTCGTTCCTGCCGAGAACGTTTTCTTAGCTCACTGTGGCTTCAGTGTGATCTGCAGGGTGGGCTCAGGGCATGACCTGTACGGCTGTCATGGGCGCTCGGGACGAGGGGCGGGTGAGGTGGCAGCTCGTGGGCGCTGGCCCACCTGGCCCATCCCAGCGGCACCCTCCCCCTCCCCCTGGGGGTCGAGCTGCTGCTCCCCGTCCAGGAAGGGGCCCCCAGAGCTGCGTCCTCAGGCCGACCCCGGGAAGACGGACACGGGAGGGACTGGCAGCCCCGGCCGCGTGCTGGGAAGCCCGGGGACACTCACTGTAAGTGTTTGGAAGTGATGTCGGGGAAGCCGGTGGCCCGGGGCCCGGAGGGCGCGCGGCACAGCGCCAGCACGTAGGCCCGAAGCGTCGCGATCCTCTCCACGCGGAACTTGGCTTCGATGAGGTCCAGGTGGGTGCCGACCACCAGCACCACGGCGTTCGGGGCCTTGGCCTGCGGCAGGGACCCCGCGGCTGGGAGCGGCTTCCCTCACCCGCACGAGGGCCCGGAAGCCGCCCCCTCCCCCCGCCAGGGGTCCCGGAGCCGGTCACCCAGAGCTGTGCCCCGCACTCCCGCGTCTGCGACCCTCCAGGGCCTGTGACGCACAGACCGAGGGGTGTGCGAGGCCCCCGCGACCCCTCCCGCGGGGCCCGGCCGTCTGAGCCCTTCGGACAGGGCACCAGCTCCCTGGGCCGGCCACGTCACCGCCACACTCACTCGAGAGTGGAGCCCTGTTCCCCTCTGGTCCCCAACGGGGAGAAGCCTTTACATTTAGGGCAGACATCTGGCCAAGGAGGATTTTAACTGCCCCGCTGTGAGCCACGGGTCGGGGGCCTCTGCGAACGCCCGTCAAACGCAAAGCGTTTCTCCCTCGCTGTTTCTTTGGTTCCCAGTCGAGGGGGACGCGTCATAGACGTGGCCCGACGTCTGTGACGCCTGAGGCGACGCCAGGCCCTCACCTCGATGCTGAGCAGCCAGAACTGCAGGTTGGCCACGGCCTCCTCGCCCAGCGCCAGGTTCCAGACGACCACGTACAGGGCTTTGTCGGTGAAGAAGCACTGGTTGACAGTGGCCATGCTGGCCGGGCCGCCGATGTCCCACACGTTGAATTCCACGGACTCGACCTACTTGAGCAACAAGGTGCACGTGTGAGCAATCGAGGCTTCAGTCAATCAAATCGAGAGAACCGGTCGCTTTGAATGCTGGACTTGGGGCCTGAAAAAGGCATGACAGGGGGAGAGACGTGCCCGTCTCGCTGTCTGTCTTAGGGACCAGTCATCCGAGGGAGGGGAGGGGCCCAGGGGTGCAGGGGCGGACTTCCAGAGGCTTCCATGCACTGCTAACGGGGCGGGGCCAGGCCCTGGACGCTGCGTCCACCTGCGCATCTGTGCGACATTGGAGGGCACTGTCCCTCCCTGTCTGGACCGCACACAGGAGACGTCTTGCCAGCGGTGACGTCAGGGCCCGCGCCGAGGCTAACCTCCATCGGAGCGAGGCCGAGGCCAAGGCCAAGGCCAAGGCCAAGGAGCCGGGCCTGAGAAATGCGTAGGTCGGAGGGCGCGGCCACCAAGGACGCGGGGAAGCCGCCCTGCCCTGACGTGGGAATTAAACAAAAGCTTAGCTGTCGGCTGCCGGGAAAGGCTGTGTACACGGCGGTGTCCCTGTCTCGCGATGGGGGACGGGTCTGGCAGCCGAGGCTGTGGTTTTCTGTAGCAAGGGACTCTTCCCACGATGCCGCGTTTTGGCCTCCGAGACCCTGTGCTGACCCGCTTTTGTGTAAAGATAAAAACGGGCAGCTGCTCTAAAGCGGGCGGAGGTCCGCTTCGGAGGGCCACACGGAGAGCTCCGGAAAAACGGGCAGCTGCTCTAAAGCGGGCGGAGGTCCACTTCGGAGGGCCACACGGAGAGCTCCGGGGCCCGGTATCCGGGCCCAGCATCAGAAACGTCGGGCGCTCGTCTTTCGACGAGAAAAAGTCGGGGGGTGGGGTGGGGCACTGAATGATGGCGGGAAGGAAGTAGGGGGTCGAAGCAGAGGGAAAACGGACATAGCAAGTCGCCCCTCAGGCCCCGGGCGACCGTTCGGTAAAGAGCAGCTGGAGGAAGGTGACGTTGCATAATCATTGCTTTGTGGGGAGGATTCTCCCGCCCACGCATGCAGCCTCTGGATTTCCACGGACAGCCTCCTTGCACCTGGACCCCTGCGTGCTACACGTAACCACAAATTCGGCCGCAGGTGAGGGGGGGCATTATCGGCGCGTGTCCGGTCTCTAAGCTGGGAGCCGTAGCTCACGGCTCGATTCAATCCCACTAGCATGCCGCGGGCTTTCTTTTCTCTGGTTCGAGGGCGAGACAATTTTCATTGTCGTCGTCTTACACTGAATGGAAAGCGGGGTGATGACAAGTGTGTTGAAGGGTTTGTTCTACAAACTAGACTTTTCGGAACCTGGAGTGAAAGCAGGCGTCGGGGAGGACAGGGCATTCAAACTCGGGGTGCGTTCTCAGCCTCCCCCCTAGGGGCGGGTGCTGCTGTATCTTAATGCCTAGTGTGGTAGTTTATTCCCAGCCCTGGGGTGGGCCGTACCCCAGACCATCTGAATTGCAACCTTAGGGGCCAGAAGAGGTGAGGCCTGGGCCCTGCTGTCTTTAAAAGTTCGTCAAAGAAATCCCACAGCCAGCCAGGGTTAAAAGCCACTGGCCCGGAGCCTCGAGGAGCTCTCACGGGGAACTACGAGGTCAGGTTAAGAAATTACCCACTGCCCTTGGCAGGAGCTGGTGTGGAACAGCACACAGGGTCCCCCACGAACGCCCTGGGGTTGCAGGTTCCAGGCTCTCTCTCTGCAGAGGACGGACAGGGGCCCTGGGAAGCTCCCTCCCGCCCACGGGGCCTCTGCGCGCTGACCATCCTTGACCTTGGCTTTCGAGCCGGCTGGCCTCTGGAGCTCCCACTTGGTGGTCTTGATGGTGGCGTCGCCGTGCACCAGCTGGGGCGCCCGCCCCGTCTGTAAGATCTCCAGGAGGCTGGACTTGCCCTGGCGCGGGGGCCCCACGACAATCATCTTCATCAGCTTGCATTTCTCCGCCCTCCGCAGCTGAGCTCGCAGGTAGGACAGCACCGCCCGGGGGCCTGGGCACGATCAGAGGGGGAGATGGGCGCTCACGACCCCCGCGGGACAAGGCCCTGGCTTGCGGGAGCCCGTCCCACATGTTCTAACGGGGCCAGTCGGGAGGATCAGTGGGTCTGAGGGAGGGAAGGAGAGACGCTCGTCACCCTCAAATGGACGAGCGCAAGTCGAGGGCGTCAAGTGGCAGCCGAGCTGCCTGTCCGGCCGCAGACAGCTTTATCGCACGGCCGGCCATAACACGACGGTCCCCAGCAACGACCACTTCATGCGGAATTTCACGGCGTCCTCCCAAACACGGGAGCTGGACGCGGGCTCCACGGGCCGCCCAGCCGCTTCCGCCCCAGGCCCCTCCCGGCGGGACTGGACTCGTCCCCCCAAGGGGGTGACGCCGAGGAAGGCCTACCTTCTTTTCTGATCTCGGCGGGCACGTTGCTGATGCTCAGGTCTTCAATGTCCAACTGCCAGAGGTTGCCCAGCTGCCCCAGCTCAGGCGGGAGCTCTCGGAGGCTAGGGTTGCTGAGAACACACACACACACACACACATGCACACACGCACACCACGGGAGAACACACACGCGCAGCTGTGGGCTTGCAGGGGCCACCGCAGCCTGCACCCCGAGCCTGTCATCTTGGGCTCTGATTTCAAGCTATCGGTTTACATACTAATCTCAGAGCCTTTCTCTCTGGAAAATCAGGAGCATGGATGGCATCTCCGTCTTAGGCAAATCCCCGTGGCCTAGAACTGGGTCCCCTCCCCCGACTTTTCTATCCCTTCTGTTAATTACACACCCCTAAAGGTTCTCACCGCCTCGTGTGCCAAGCAGCAGACAGAGCCCGAACTGCTTTCTGCTGCCGTCACGTTCTGCGCACCGTCTGAGGCCCCGGCTGGAGGCGCTCAGTGAACGGACGGAAGAATTTTAACTGCTCGTTATAACTGAGCGAAGTGGCACCGCAGACGTCGCTGCACCGTCCCCTCTGCCTTCCCCTCCCGCACCGGGCTCTGAAACTCTCACGGCTGCTTCTCGGGGCGTAGATGGCTCCTGTGTCTCCGGTTTCTGTGTCCCTGGCTGGTTTACAGAGGACATTGTGCCTCCCTGGGCCAAGGGGCCAGTGCGGCTGCCCCAGCTGACTTACTTTCCCAGGTAGAGCTCGGACAGGTTCTTCAGGAGGCAAACCGAGGAGGGCACTGCGTCCAGGTGGTTGTCGTTCAGACAGAGGACTTCTAAAGACTCGCTGAGGAAGGCCGGGAATTCCAGGACACACGCTGCAAAGAAACGGCGAAGCAGACGGCAGACTTGATTCTGGAGCACGGCAGCGTGGCTCCGCGACCCTGGATCCACGACCCTGGATCCACGACCCTGGATCTACGGCCCTGGATCCGCGACCCTGGATCTACGGCCCTGGCTCCACGACCCTGGATCCACGACCCTGGATCTACGACCCTGGATCCACGACCCTGGATCTACGACCCTGGATCCACGACCCTGGATCTACGACCCTGGATCCACGACCCTGGATCTACGACCCTGGATCCACGACCCTGGATCTACGACCCTGGATCCACGACCCTGGATCTACGACCCTGGATCCACGACCCTGGATCTACGACCCTGGATCCACGACCCTAGATCTACGGCCCTGGCTCCACGACCCTGGATCTACGGCCCTGGATCTACGACCCTGGATCTACGGCCCTGGCTCCACGACCCTGGATCTACGACCCTGGCTCCATGACCCTGGATCTACAGCCCTGGATCTACGGCCCTGGATCTACGACTCTGGCAGCCGCACGGTAAGACGCTCGTGCCGCCAGCCGGAGATTCTGATTCTGCGCATGGCAACGAAGGGAGAGCAAGCACGCTCGGTGGCACAGTTTGGTAGAGCAAACACAGGGGACAGCCTAGCGTGATGGGGTGACGCACGACCACCTCAAGCCCGGGTGCCACCGGACGGCTGAAAACACACGCACAGCGTCAAGGTATCTAGAAGGCTTGATTTGTGGACCTCAAAACGTGTTCAGACGTGTGAGCAAACACACGCGGAGTGTGTTCATGCGTGTCTGTGTGTGTGTGTGTACACACCGCAATGCACACACGTATGCTATATGGCGTTATCTGTATGTACACATACTATACATGTATGCATGTCACAAGCACATGCACACACACATGTTGCATGTTACAGGCACCTGCACACAACACACACATGCACGTGTTCCATGCTGTTGCAGGCATGTGTACATGCCACATGCACATACACGTATGTAAACGTTACACGTGTACGTTAGACACAGCATAATTGTTCCCAAAGACTATTCTGCGCATGGCAACGAAGGGAGAGCAAGCACGCTCGGTGGCACAGTTTGGAACAGCAAACGCAGGGGACAGCCTAGCGTGATGGGGTGACGCACGACCACCTCAAGCCCGGGTGCCACCGGACGGCTGAAAACACACGCGCAGCGTCAAGGTATCTAGAAGGCTTGATTTGTGGACCTCAAAACGTGTTCAGACGTGTGAGCAAACACACGCGGAGTGCGTTCATGCGTGTCTGTCTGTGTGTGTGTGTGTACACACCGCAACACACACACGTATGCTATATGGCGTTGTCTGCATGTACACATACTACACACGCATGCACGTCACAAGCACATGCACATGCACACGTCGCATGTTACAGGCACCTGCACACAGCACACACATGCACGTGTTCCATGCTGTTGCAGGCACGTGTACACGTCACATGCGCATACACGTATGTAAACGTTACATGTGTACGTTAGACACAGCATAATTGTTCCCAGAGACCCATGAAATTGCACAGCTGTCCCCAGGAAGGGACATTATTAGGAGGCTGAGTACTTTGGTGTTGCTCAAAAATGTTTACCGTGTACATGAATTACTCCTTCGATTAAAAAACGTAACTAAAAAAATAATAACATGGATTTGGTTTTCATGCTTCCTAAGACGGGATTCTCTAAGAAACAAGCCAACTCCTAGGATTTCAGTGACTTCGTTGATGAGGCCAATGACGAGATCACTATTAAAATCACGTCAACGCTGCCGTTTCCACGGGCACCGCACGGTGTGAGTTCAGGAAAACTGTGGCCCAGAGCCTGGAATCGCTCAGTGGGACGGGGGGATCAGAGGTTTGCGTTTCAGCAGAATCTCTGAGGTGCCTTTTCCTCCCTCCTCGGGCAGCGCGAGGGGGCAGGACGGCACCCCCAGGTCCTTTTTCAGCTTGGAGAAATCACTGCCTCAAAGCCCTGTCGCCCGGTCCCTGCCCAGCGGATGAGCGACACGGGGAAGCCAGCATCTTTTGACGGGCGAAGCGATAAGCTCCGGTGCCCTTGACCCCAGCACCGCGGACTCAGGCTTTTCCTCCACGCACAGAGCTGCAGTGTCAATGGCAATGGGGCGACCCGCCATCAGAGAACGTTCTGGAACAGCAAAACCGGCGCCTGGAAAACCCGCCCCGTGAGCTGCGCTGCTGGATGGGGCTCTCTCAGAGACGGCTTTGTGCTAGACCTTTCACAAGAAAGTGTCCAAAAAACGCTTCTTTTTTTCAATGACACCGGATGACCAACTTGAACCTGACCTCGTTCACACTGAGTGGACATCAGAACGGAATGAGGCTCATTGCTTCTTGGAGACGTATTCTGAATACCTGGCCCTGGAGGCTTTCCAAAATTTTTGCCGTGGTGTTTATTAAACCTCTTTAACTAACAGATGGAGGGAACAGACAACAAGCAGTACGGGCAGCAGTAACACCTGTCACAGACCTCCTGGCCCAGCGTGGGGACCGTAAAAACGGCCCGGGAAGCACAGCCCGAAGTATTTATGACCTGTAATTATTTATTCATAAGTTATTTATGACTCCGCTGGTCTGAATTTTACCGTAAAAACAGCCATCCAAATTATTTTTGGACGAGGCCACCGCACAAATATGACCATTCGAATGTACATAACTTTACTTGGAATTTTACGATCCATCTGCAAACAAGTTATCTTTTATAGATAATTCCTCACCCAAGGATCAACAGCCCTGAGAGACTAACCCCACTGAGGAAAAGCGTTCGCAACAGGCCTCCTTATTTTTACCCAGGTGTGGGCCTCGACGTTTTAGACGAAAATAAAAAAAAAAAATCAAGGGTCCTTTGTCATGTGCCAACTGTACCATTCACCTCTGCCAAGGACACTTCCAAGGGGGGGGCCTCCTCGTCTAGCTCCCCAGATGCGCTCCGCTGGCCACCAGCAAGTCATCCTCCAGAACCGCTGCCCGTCCCTCCGGCGCCCTCCCCCGTGAAGCCCTGTGCTCTGGTGGCTTCACGAGGGAGCGGCCGAGCCCACCTCCTCACACGCTCGTGCACGGTCCGCATTTTAAAGTTGGAGACGGCCTTCTAATCGACCGAATGTCGGACGCTCAACCCACGGCGTGAGCGAGATTCACGCCAGCGACTCTCTGCCGCCTGGAGTCTGGTTCTCGCATTCGTGGGGAGAGACTGTTTCTCTTCCCTTCCAAGAGAAGTCCCTACGTCTGGGCTCGGCCTTCATTTCTGGATTTCTCAGCTAGCTTTTAAGGTCTTTCCCACCCCCTAATTATACATACAGCTTTTTAAATGTTATTTTATACTTAAATCTAAAATCCACATGGACATTTCTTTTTTAGTTTACGTGAGGTTGAGAGTCTAGCGTGGTGACTGTCTGTCCCTTCTACCTGGAGAAGTGGTCACACCTACACTCCTTATTCTAACAATAAAACATTATTTCCCACAAAACGGAAACATCACCGTCGTCATAAAGTCCTATGTTGACTTAGGTCAATTTTTGGGCTCATCTGTTTCACTGGTGATGTGTTACAGTTTCGATCACATGTAAACACACACGTGACTCATATATGCACATCGTGTGTATACACACATGCACGGCAAGCCATCGAAAAGTACCACAAGCGGACAGAGTATTTTGTTCACCTCCTACAAATGTGTCTTGGCCTCTGTGGCCTTTCTTACCCCTACCTGACGCCATCTGCGCTTAGGACCACGTGACAATATAGACCTATTAAAGCCCAAGAGTTAGATACATTTAAAATGACCTAGATACCGGCTTCCGTCCTACGGGACAGCAGGGCGG